TTTTTTTCTTTTTAACCAAACACATTATTTTGTTATGCTGAGATCTTTTCTTTGCTTATTTTGTCCTCCCCTACCCGAACTGCCTACAATAGGATGCCCAGCATCTGCTGATATTCACAGAGAGCCCACGCAGTCCCCAGTGCACGGGATGCATCCATAAAAGCCATGACTGGAAGCCTTCCAGTTCATGCTTACGTACTGGGAACCACCCTGATGACAGAAAGCCTGGCATAAATAAGGCCTAAGCTTTCTCTCTTCCACAGATCAGTAGAGCAAGAAGAGATAAAAGCATCAACTCACCGAGGCTCCTCTCTGCTGTCTAGTAGTATTTTCATCCTACTTGACACCCAATATTAAAATATCTATATATTTTAGATATACATCTATCTTAAAACTCTTGCACAAGAAAGTGAGGCTCAATACATCAAGCCTTACTATTCTTAAATGCAGATATTTCTGAATACCCTTGAATTAGATTTGAATTCTGAGCATAATTAAATCTTCATCCTAAAGGTACTATGTATTTTAGCACTATTCATAGCAACACCTCTTTCAAAACTTCAACATCAAGAAAGGCTACTCCCACCGGGGACTGACAGATAAGAACGTCTTCATGCATACAAGTTGAATTTGCATTTTTTCATACTGTTTCTCCATTCTTGCTTTCCAAAATCTGGGCACACAAAGATGTAAGAGGGACATGGAAGTCATTAAAACTGCCAAGACAACACAAACTATTCTTCTCCAGCATGTCTCACCCTGAGCCCTCCAAGTCCCATGAAAGCCACCATGCAGTCAACTTTTCTGTGATCTTTTTGCATCAAAGCCAGAATACTCCATGCATTATGCCCTCCTGCTGAACACCTGGCAGATTTCCAAGAGAAAAATCTGCATAGTACTCACTTCTGGTAAGGCCAGCAGTAATTTCCCTGTGTGCTTTCTCTCTTAGGGCTGGAGGACGAGGCAAAAGAAGGGTCACTGACACTACCCACAGTTCAGGGTCTCAGGAGGGCGATGGAAGGCCAAGAAGAGCCACATTCATGCCAGCCCTGAACAGCCAACAGCTGGAAGTGAGCCCAACTCTGTGTTCAAAGTATCCTTCTTTGCCACTTTCCGAGATCCTCACGGCTGTTCCTCTTCAGGAACTCGGTGCTATGCCCAAAGCCAGGGGCCACCTTTGCTAAGCCAGGGACCTGGCACATACAAAACATGCAGGGAAAACCATCATTTTACCAAACCTACTCACCCCCAAAACTGTTCTGTTTCCCACCTCCAGGAAGGAGGTGGCACAGCCTCTGTGCTGGATAAAGAGCTCTTTATCCAGCTTCCAGCAATGACACAACCCCAGTGAAACAGCCTGCTCCACACCCTACAGTATCCTGGTGCCCCCAGATCCTGGGCATGATGTAGACTGCCAGCTCTTGTGTGGGTTTTCTGCTCCTCTATCTATCATTTCATTATTGTTTCAAGTTTATAAAAACATGTGTAAATGTGGTTCTGCAAGAAGAGAACTTGGAGGAGTCAAACCACATGTTTACCCCAAACATTTTAGCTCATTCAGAAGTTATTTTTTATTGCATCTGGCACTTTACTGGATGCCACCATAAGCTCTTTTCATACAAATTGCAAGTTATGAAGACTGCTAAAGCATCCATTAGTCAAGATAAATTCTACACTGTATCTCCAACTCCACAATGCGTATTTCGAAGCAACCCACACTTCTGTGGTATTTACATGTCACTAAGACAACCACAGTGAGCTTTATGTTTATTTTGCATATTCATGCAAAATCTTTCTTTCTTTCTTCCTTACTTTGGTTCTGGAAAAGTAAGAGGGTTCATATTGCTCTGTAAAAACATGGCTTCATGTGCATCTCTAGAGCAAACTCTGTGACATGACTGCGTTTGCTCCCGACGTTGCTCGAGCCCCACTGACAGGCGTGACTGATCACATCGTTCGCCACAATCCTGGACAAAGCCCGAATGTTCACTGCCCAAAGACACCATTCTTCAGGGATTCCTTTATTTGCCCACACAGGATTCTGTTGTTTACTAAAATAGAAACTAACAGCCAATATTTGTTCCTGTGAATTATCCAAACCTATGCACCAGCCTACACCTATACATTCTTTATGTATTGCTAGAACAAAACAGCTTTACAGCTCAGAGCATTAACCCGCAGAACCCCTATTGCTCTAACAAACCTCCTGACACAGGCATTTAAATCTAAATTGTCTGAAATACAAAGGCAGGAATCCTTCCTGATCCTCCTCTTGTCAGGGATTCAGGTGATATCAATGGTGACGTGAAAATGAACAACTGGGCAGCATTTTCATCCTTCATCTTTTTACTTCTTTTTAACCAAAACCTTATTTTTTTTTTTAAAGATAATGAAATATTAATAGATCACACAGATAAAACTGGAAAGATCTGAAAATCAGTCTCTGGTTTTATTTAAGGATGGGATTCAACTCCAAGGGCGTTTTTCTGCCCCACTATCAGCGAAACTCATCTCTTTCCTATCTCAAGGACATTTTTCTTTAATTTCTATGTATTGTTACTTGGAATTTCAATTATTGAGCATGAACTGGTAAACTGTTTCACAAGAAACTGCTTTGGAAAAATACCATCAGTTTCTGCATAATCAGTACTTCTTTCTAAGAGAACTTTAATTTGTATCTTGAAAGTTAAATTACTGTGACCATACAGCTTCAGGGCCTGTTACGTTGTACTGCTCCCCAGGCCAGGGCCAGGGCACTGCTTCTTCCTGAGCTTTCACTGGTGCAAAGAGAATACAGGAGCCTACAAACAAATACCTATTCCAGAGGCTCAAGCTGTAACTGGCTGAGGAAGCACATTAATCATCATCCAAAGAGAATGCAGTGAGCAACAAGGAAAAGAATAGGAACAGTTCAAAAGAAACCAATGACAAGCAAGCCTTCTGTCAGCTCCTCAATATTCAGTACAGTGAACTCCCAACATTCGATGTATCACATATATAACAATTTCCAGTGAAAACCTGCTCCAGGTTTCACAAATCAAAGAACACATAAAATCCCTTGTGAAAGCTTGGAGGATGAGAGGCCTCTGTTTCCAAAGTCTGTTCAAAGTTAGGTAGATGAGGAAGGCCAGGGGCAGGGAGAGGACCCCAGGAGGAAACCTCCTTCTTTTCAAATCCAGGCACCTACCAGCCTGCAGCTGATGGAAAAGCGAGTTCACCAAGGATGCTTTAGGAATGGACAGCTGGCAGGAAAATCCCTGCCTCCCCTTTTGCTATTATAGGCACTGGAGGGGACACTCTCCCTGGGATAGCTCCTGCCTCCTGCTTCCCTGGGAGGTCTTCACAGAGTGGTTATCTTTGTTTAGGTACATGCACACACGGTCTTAAGATTCTCAAGATATAAGCACACACGTGTGGTGTTATGCAAAATAACACATAGACTAATAAGGTTAAAAAAAAAAGAAAAATAGGGCTGGAATATTTTTTAAAAATCTCATCCATCCAAAAATTTAGATGTTGTATCAACATACACAAGTTAGCACATGTTGACTAAAGCATTTTCACAGTAAAGCTTCCATGTAAAATAAACATGCTGGATATCAGTGAGGGGCCTGAACTTTATATCCAAGTATATTCAACACCCTCCTACAGCCAGTAATGATATTGTGTAAGAGGAAATAGGATAAGTCCACCAATAGCAAGAAAAAAAGCTACAAAAGAAAGAAATACATAGTAAACTAATGTATTTCTTGCAATAGGAAATGGAAAAGAAAAAGTCTTGATGTCATCTCAAAAGACTGTAAGCAAAAGCAGCACACGACATGCAACACAAAACTCTTCAATGCACTTGTGACATGCAGATGCCTTGGTCAGGAGAGCATTTTCCTGGAATTTCTGGGTGTTGGTCTGGCATTTAATTAACATTACAAAGACCTGTTTTTTAAAACAATTTTAAAAGCACACCAGATCACATTCAAATGGAAGTCGTTATTAGACTCATTACAATTGCAGAACTAAATGATGTCCTTTCTTCCACTAAATATATTTTGATATTTGCATGTACCACTAGCTCCAAACTGGATTACTGCAAGTCTCTGCCAAAAGACTTTTCAGACAGGCACTGTATCAAAAGGCTTCATTAAATCGTAACACCAGGCATAATATTCGTGCTCTAAATGCTGAGGGCTCCATTAATCCCATTTTGTGAATTTACCATTGCCTTCTGATTCCCACAACTTTAAAATGCTGAAACCTCTGTCTTCTCAGAAAATTCTGTGACGGGGAATGTGGACTAGGCTGATACTGGGGAACACCATCATGTATTGGCCACATCCTTCTGCTGCCCATCTTTGATTTCTTTTCAGAAATTGAGCTTTACTTGCAACAGAAAAAAAAAATACTGCTGTTCACATTTAAAATCAGAAGCTTTGAAAGGCTGAGAAAAAGACATGCGCCCTCATTTTCCTTTCCAATGCAAAATACGCTTTCCTGGGCATTTTAACGAAACAGATGGTAGGTGCTAAGCCCCTGTACACGGCTTTCTCACTTACTTAGTGTCAGCACACATCTAAATGGATACATTTCTAATAGGTGCCTTTTGATGTCAAACTGTTCCGGGAGCCCCTGCGGGATGCACGGCCCGGCCGGAGGAACCCAAAGAGCAGGGAGCCCGCAAGAGCGGCGCTGCTCCCGGTGCGCGGATGACACGGGATTGATTACGCACCAGGAGAGACGACGCAATTATAAAACACTGGACCCGCATTCGCCTGCCCGTGCCCGCACGCAGGCGATCGCATCCCAGGAGAGGGGTCCTACCTTTCCAGGCACGACACCGAGATCACACACACACACGCAAGCAGACCCCCCCACCCCCACAGCCACAGCCCCCGGCAGGACCGAGGAGCCGAGCGCTCGCCCACCGCGACCCTCGGGCGGGAAGGACCGTCACGTCCCGGACAAAGGCTGCTGCCGCGGGGTCGGCGGCGGCCCCCCGGCCTTACCTGCGGCGGGCGGGGGCGGCCGGTCGGGCTCGTCCTGCTCCAGGGTGACGGCGCCGTCCCGCCAGACGCGGAGCTGCGCGGCCGCCGCCCCCAGCCTGGCGGCGGGGGTCTCTCCGCGGCGGGCGCGGGCGCGCAGCGAGGCGCAGCACTGGTAACACACGGCCCACGCCTGCTCCTCGTTGATGGGCTGGTTGTAGAGCCGGAGGATCTCCTCCAGCGACAGCGCCTCCGGCTGCCCGCCGGACCCGCCGCCGCCGTCCTCCTCCTCCTCGGCGGCCGGGCGGGAGGCGCCGGGCTGGGGCTCCATGCCCTGCGTCCGCCGCGGTGCTCCTCGCTCAGTGACCGGCCCCGCCGCCGCGGCAGCGGCTGCTGATGCTGCTGCTTGCGCTGATGCTGCTGCTGCTTGTGCTGCTGCTGCCGCCCGGTCCCGCCGTGCTCATCCTCTCCGCCCCACTAGTGCCACCAGGCCGCCGGACGGAGAGCCCGGCCCGCGCGGCAGGCAGCAGGAGCCAGGAAACAGGCAGGAGTCAGGAGGAAGGCAGGCACAGGATCGGCGCCCGGTCCGCCCGCTGCCGCCGCCGCAGGGGGAGCGACAGCTCATAGCAACGCAATGGCGTCCTCGTCCTCGCCCGCCCCCGCCGCGCGGCGCCGCCCGCCGCCGCAGCGCCCCCTGCCGCACGGCACGGCACGGCACGGGCGCCATGGCGGGCGCGGGGAGGATTCGCTCGGGGCTGCCACGGCAACCGGCGCCTGCATCGCCGGCCGAGCCGCTCGGCTTCCCGCTCTGCCGGAGACACCGACAGACGCGGGGCACTCCTCCCACAGCCCTCGGGCCGCTGTTTCTGCGCCGGGTGTTCGTAACCAGCACCCCCAGAAACAAACAACTGCCGGCGGGACGCGGGATGACACTCCCTGCACCCCCAAGCGTTAAACACTTGACACCAACCTGCGCCATCAAGGATACAGCGAAACATATCCGCAGAGCCCCGCTTCCATAGCGGGAGGGCGACTGCCTTTGAATTACCGGGTCTGCCCTCCCGAACCAAACACTTTCCCCGTGAAAGCTCCATCCTCGGCAGCAACAAGGTTGGAAGCGTCCAGGGTACACATAGAGGCTAGCAAAGTTAAATCAGTTCAATCTGGAAAGGGAACAACGAGGAACAACGATTCCCTCGTCATCTGGGAACTGACGACCCTGCCTCTGAACACACCTGGGCACCAGAAGGGCACAGCCCTTCACGCCAGCTTTGCCCCAGGCAAACGAGCACTTTCACGCAGAAAAACATCAGGCTAAATAAGCTGCAGCTCACACCGAACACTTCAGTTTCTATCTTTAGTGTTGTACCTCTCAGATGCGAAAGGAAAGTACAAATCCCCCGTTCGCACCTGATCCACTGGGAGCCGGGAGGGCGTGAGGGACAGCGGCGGGAGCGCCCCCTGCCGCGCAGGAGCGGCACTGCACCTGGGCACGGCCCCCGCCGCCGGCTCCAAGCAAACAGCTCCTTCCTCTCTTCCCGTTCCACTTCCAGCTCCTCTCTTCCCGTTCCACTTCCAGCTGTACTCAATGCCGCTGCTTTTTTCCTCTTTCCTCTTGTGTAACATACAGCGGTGCATACAAGATACAAGTGGTACCTAAATAACGCGTTAAATTTGGTGATATTCACCATGCAATATGATCCAGCTTTTCAGGCTACATTTAGATAGAAGGAAATTGGGGGAGAAATTGTACTTGTGAAGCTTTTATATATATATATATGTATATATTTATATATATATATTCTATATGCTGTATAACAGGCAAACAAATGCATTTTTATCTTCCGAGCAGTAAAAAAAAAAAAAACAAAAAAACCCCATAAAACCAGACTTGTAAAGTTAGCAGCAGGGCCAGTAAGTACATAATGTACTTATTAGAGTCCTAAATTTAAAAAACCTCAGTGCTGCCATAGGAAGTATTTAACACCTCTTGAAGAAAAAAGACACAAATGGTGTCACATTGCTACACTGCTGATTAAATGTACATGCAAAATGCCAATATTCACTCCTGCTGTATGTGTTGCAATATTCTCTAAGGTAAATTTTTTAGTCCAGCAGCAGCAGAAAGAGTGGCATCTTTCTTACAAGGACAACCAAAGGAGGTGGTCATGGCCTATCACTGACACACAATGGCTTCTACAGAAGGAACCAAACAGTTTCAGATTTTCCAGCCACAAGAAGAGATGCCCAGAGTCCACATGGGGAAAAACCTGAGAAGTTTGGTATGGAAAAGTTCAGTAAGCCAAACAGCTTGCCATTTTGCAAAGCATAAAGACTTAAAGATACTCAGCAAAATAATCACCCACAGGTTTAAGACAGACAAAATCACAGATGGCTAATTAAGTACAGATGTGAGCATCAGAATCAGACAAAATCATGAATGGCTGTCAAGCAAAATGGCCTGGCTCCAACTTCTACCTCAGAAACTTCTTAAGGTAACAAGAGGCAAAAGACACCAAGTTTAACTACTTTATCTAACCCATCATAGCTATTCACATCTTCAGGTATTCAAGTCTTAATGTGTATTTTTGAAATAAATCCATATACTATTAAATTCACAGATTAACAAGTTTATCTGACTGAACTGTTCTCAGAAGCTGAATGTATAAGTTGCTGATAGATCCATGAGAGGCAGAAATAAATTTTGTTGTCTGAAGGACACATGCCTAAACACCAGTATTTCTGGATCTCAGTCACTCACAAAGCACACCTCATACACTACAGGGAAAGGTGAGGTACAAAAAAGTCTCTTACCCTGCAGAAGTAAAGCAGACCCAAATAAACTCTTAAACCAATCAGAACTGCAAAAAACAAGCTAATATTTTTTGGACACATTTTAGTAACTTGACTCACACTTCTATAAATATAAAAAGTAACTTTTATTAAAAAGAATAAATTCTCTTTATAAATACAATCATTACTGTGTACACAATCCCCTTCAATACACACACTGTGGTGTTCAAAATCAGTGGCATTTATATAAAATACCATATTAGTTTTTCATGGAATCATTTTACACCCACATACATTATTTTGCAGCGCTGAAAAGGTATGAACAGTTTGGGATTTTTTTCAAAGGACAGAGCGGTATTTACAGGCAAACATGATCCAAACAGCACACGCAGATTCGGGGTATGCAAACACTCGTACACGAACTGCAAGTCGCACTTGGTCTCCCCTACAACAGATTATTTCTTCACAAAAAGGAGACCTATATGACAAAAAGAAGCACAAGAGTAACAGACAATGCTAAGACATTGTTAAAGCTTTTAATTACACAGTGCCATTTTTTTAAAGTGTAACTAGCATTTAAGTAAAAATGAGAACCATGAGTCTGTCATTACAAATAACAATATCGCTCTATAGTGCAAGGGCTGTTGCCTTGGAGGAAAATGACACCACCACTGGCCATTTTTAACAAGTACAGAGAAATGAAATTAACTCCTCATTCTTCAATTTAACACACAAGAAGTCTATCACCACTGAATCTCCAATGTAACCTAATCCATTACACACACCACACCATTCTTCCTCCAGCTCTAACCTAAGGAAATTAATTTTCTTTAAAATTTGTTATTAAAAAAATGAGTTGCAATTAGCAATTAAGGATTATTATTTAGTTTTAACATATACGTATATCTTTACACTTAAACTTACCGAAGACATGTGGCAAATGCTCTCCTGGCATTTCTGTGCACAAAATGGATGGGAAACCCTTTGAAGGTGTGACCATCGGGTACCGCTCTCCTTACGGCATCCTGAAACTCTTCATTTCCTGCAGAAACACCCGTTGTGCGTTCGAGCTCGTAGGCTGCTAATGCTTGTGACAACAGATAGGACAGCTGGTCATCCCACACAGTCGAAAGGCCAAGATCCTGGGAGGCAAGTCACAGAGCGATGACAACTGTGCAGAAGTACATCAGGATATGCCTGAACTTGCCTACTGTATAGACTCAAATAAATCCAAGAATCTTTATATTGGCAGTTAATGGCAGTGAATGAAGCAGTGAGATTTGTGTATTGACTCACACACCAGCTGGGAGACGCAAACGCCACCACCAGAAGCAAGTGACACCACAAGTATCAAACATTTATCAAGGAATGAAGCTAAACTATTATAATAAAAACATAAGGCCAGCAGAGTTGAAACCAGATTTTTCAGCTACAGTATCTCTGCATTAAATGTGAGAAGATATGTATAAATACACAGCAAAAATATGGAAAAGATCAACTAAAATTCACCTGACATTTTTTCAAATGTCTCGTGGAAAAGCCTTTCTGAAAAAATTATGCACAACAGCTCCCCGAAACACAAAGGCACCTTCTTTCTACCATCCATCTTCCCACCACATATATGCACCTTCTTCCCAGCATCCCAAATACAAAGAAGTAGAAAAATCTTCTGTGTATGTATTTAACACTGCATGAGACTCATACTCCGAGAATTACTTTGCCACCCTAAAGGCTGAGCATCATGTGGGGAGATAAAACAGAAACAATCCAAAAACCTCATTAAAAACAGACACAAGCTAACAGGAACTTAAAATATCATTGCCTTCATGTCCAGCACAGGAAGTACATTTCTGGCACATTATGCCTTGTAAAAATCCTGGTAAAGGAGAAAACTAACTTCTAAAAATAGCTCAGATTTTGTAAAGCGGTCAGAGTAAGATCACAAAAGCTGAAAGCCTGTGTTTATCTAGGAACCAGAAACATTTGTGCTGGATTGGCAAAGCCCATAACAACCAGATTTCATCTTCCTGGTGCTTTTAGAGACCCCTCATGGGTGGTCTGCAGGCACCAATAAGCTGAAGATAACAGACCCAGAATGAGGGGCAAAGGCAGTGTGGGGGGAAGAGCCCACACATGAGGCTATGGATCACCACGCCAAATAACTGTAATTATGATGTCTAAACCAGCTCATTACAGTCTTCCCAAACATTTTTTTCAGTTGTTTCACTTTTCCCATATCACATTTCTACAAAACCTGATGGAAAACACATTGCAAAGATACAAGTACGTGAACTAACAAATGGCTATCCAAAACAAGTACACAATTAACACACAAACCTCTATTACCATGACAGATCACTGCCAATCTTTCTCACCTTTCTGTGTTCAGAGACCAGTATCCTCAGCTGCACTTCCATCTCGTTGCTTGTTACAGCAGCATCTATTGTAGAAGCACACAGAGGAGGAGAAGGGGGAACTGAAGACGTTGCTCCAGGAGCACATACAGATTTTATTGCTTCTCCACTCATGGGTTTCCATTTGGATGCATCATGCAGGTCAAACACACACACCTCCACAGCATCAGAGGGCTGACAATTTCCAAAGAATTTTTCATGGTTGAAGATACAACCTATTGTGCGATATGGATACAGTGGCTTGGGTTGCTCAGCTAGGGGAGGGTCATCAGGGTTGATAGGTCTGTGGATGTACCTAGTCAAAAAGATTAAATTTCTTATTAATACAACTTCTTTCAAGGCAAGGTAAAAATATAAAGATGGGACAGATATAGCCATTTTTCCTTTAAAAATAGAAGCCAAGTTTGTCAGCAACTTTCCCCCCCAAAATGGC